CTTGTTAATGCGAAGTCAATATTCCTATATTTCATGATGTGCTCCATTGAATGACTGGTTATCATATTGTTCCCACAAACCAAAGACAAAAACGTCAGCAACCATGTAATTTAACCATAAACCAAATTTATCAAATCTAAACAACGCGTATCCATGCCTGTACATTCGGTGTGTCCTACACAGGTAGGAAAAAATATGTATTTTATTTAAACATTATTATAAAGTATGATTGCTAATCGTATATGTAATTTATCATATTGATGATGCCTGTAAACTGGCGTCCCTCATGTACAAAATGAGAATATATTATTATTAAAACCGTATATATACATATACGGTTGTACAGCTTGATGATGAATTCGTTGAAAAGAGTCTCTTCGCTGAATCACTTGTTTTGATTTCCTAACCTACGTTTAGTCCATTGCTGTATACACTCTGTGTGTGTGTGTGTGTGTGTGTGACAATGACACATATGTTGACTTCTGCGTACTTAAAGTTCACCACAATTAAGTAATGACATTCACTGTCTCGAGCCGACCCGATGTATTTACAACAACGACGCCGTAAACTACACATCATCACAATCAGTCATTGACTTGACTTGCACAATATGTTGGTTGGTTGGTTAGATAGCTATGAGGAAGACATGGACGTCGGTGCAGAGATAGCCAACCAGAGTAGTTGGATTACTTCACGTGTGATGTTCGCTGTTGCATACAATGAGTTTTCATTCATCAGGTTCGTATTTCTCCGTCTGGATGTTGTTCAATTGATGTATCCATTATGTAAATAGACGTTTCGTATATTCAATACTCCTGGGAATATCACTGACGTATCCTTTAGAAATTCGACCACTGGGGTGAAAATATAGAACAAGATGATGACGCATACAGTCAGTCATCTAATATGACCAATTATGCTTCGCTTCACATTGTACACTTGACTTTTTTGTATTCAGCTGAAATATTCTAACCGACCCGTGCGTGTTATTAATAATACTTTTGCTTTGAAGAACCATATCTTTTCGAGGATATCATCATCCTGGCTCTACTATCGTGTATTTATCATACATGTGCGGGAAAGTTCGAGAATGATTTCCCGTCATTGGTCAAATGAATAAAATTACAATTAGAAATTATAATGCCTTAATTATGTATGGGACGGATAGTGTTCTTTCCCTCACTTCCCCAGTAGAACATAGGACTTCAAGCTAGTGGCTTGAAGTTTCTGAAGCAGTGGTGTTTAATTTTACAGGATGGGGTTTCTAGACTCACGCCCAACCTTTCCTCTTTACCAGCATTATTTCTAGCTTAGTGAGGTGAAGAAGATATCAGGTGTGCGTCGGCAGAGGATCGAACCTCGGACCATGTGCATGGTCGGCGAGAGTCCTAACCACTGTGCTACCGACGCACGGATAAACCTCAAACCAATTAGCCTCACAATTACTAAGGAAATTGAAATTGTGCAATTGGGGTTAGAAATGTACAAATAACAAAATAGACAGGATGCTTGTATCGAAGAAACTAATTTGGTGTAGAATTCTTTATTCTATTGGGATTAAATATGTAGAAATAGTAAAATGTTAAAATAAACACGAAGTTGGGTTATGAAAATATGATACTGTAAACAGGGATTAAGAAAAACTTGGAAAAATAACATGAATAAACAGGAAGTTCAGATAAGAAAGCCTATGGGATGGTCATTACTCAAATGTTACCTGTTTATGATGACCATGGCAGGGACAGGGTTTGGACGTATTTCTTTCGGATACAAAGCGTGGGTTTGAGCTTTTGGATAGCTAGCGCCTCGGCTGTGCCCAGGTGTCTTAATTTCACTCCCTTTGATAGGTTTGATTGAATCTTATATATTACTTTGAAGGATTTTTCGAAAGGCGCTGAATTCCCCGAACTGACCAGATGTTCTGTCACTGAACTGTATACACGCTTTTGGCCTCCTTTAACTGACCAGGCTGGGTAGTGTTCACGAGCGCGTTTTTCAAGTCGGCGCATGGCACGGCCAATGTACTCAGCTCCACCAAAGCAAGTAAACTGGTATAAGCACGTTGAGGTGGCCTAATGCGACAGCTTGTCTTTCGCGTTCTGGCTGAACAGTTTATTGCAGGAAAACGTCAGTCGTAGGCTAGCGGCGAAGTATGTTTTCCTCAGCGATTTGGAGAGGCGTTTATGAAGGATTTCTGCCTCAATATCACCTCTGAATTCTATATTAAGCAGAAGCACTTTCTTTGGAACGGATTGGACTTGTTCGGAAGTCTTCCTAGATTTGAGATTCTTGTCTATTAACCTGGGTGGGAAACCGTTTTCCATCACGGTTTTTCGAAGATTACGCAATTCTTCCTCAGCCACTTCCGAATCCTCGAGGAAAGGGCGTATATTAGGTCCCTCTTTCTGCTCAGGGGCACGAAGCTTTGAAAGTTGATGAATTATCCATTCCACGTAGAGTTTTTGTATGTGGATCTTTCCAGAGAGTTGTTGGTGTTTCTTGTCAGATGGACGTCGAGGAAGTGGACACATTCCATCGGATTCAGTCTCAAGTGTAAAGTCGATGTTTGAATGGGCGTTATTGAAGATTTGAACTAGGTATTTTAAATGAAAATTCTCATCACAAAGAATGAAATTATCATCGATGTATCTCTTCTGGGGAGATGGAGGTCGTTGATAGTTTTTGATAAGGGGTTGTTTTCTAAGCTAGCCATAAAGCAGTTGGCTAGGAGGGGTCCTAGGGGGAGAAACCATTGCTACTCCATCTACTTGCCTGTATATTTCCTTGTTGAAACTAAAGTATACGTTGAAGGTGCATCGTAGTAAGAGTTCTTTCAGGTAATGTATCGGTATACCGAGATCGATGATATTGGATTGAATGTAGTCACAAAAGAAACATACGGTTTCTGTAAATGGAACGTTGGTGAAGAGAGAGACGACATCCAAGGAGACCATGTTGTTTTCTGCCACACTGACATTCCTTATTAAATCAACAAAGTCAAATGTGTCACCAGTGCCGGGATAGCCGTTCATAGTATCTACCGATGCTGGCGATTACGGAATAGGCGCAGTACTCAGACAGAGTGACGGAGTCGTCGAGTACACCAGCCGTGTTTTAACGCACAAGGAACAGAATTATTCAACAATTTAGAAGGAGTGTTTGGCAATTGTGTCGGTGCTAGACAAATGGAAACCCTACTTACTGGGTCAATGCTTCCGCGTCGAGACTGATCATAAGCTGTCGCAGTGGCTGAGGACCGCCAGAGACCCGCGTGGGAAGTTGTCATGGTGGATGCTGCGCCTGCAACAGTATGATTTCACGATCTCTCATGTTCCAGGAAAAGCGAATGTGTTACCAGATATTTTATCTACAATAGAAGAGGTAGAGTTACTTGAAATAGCATATGGTGTAAAAATGCCTAAGAGCGAAACCCAGCAAGACTTGTCCAGATTCAAAGATCAGACGACACCTTGAAAGCTGTCATACAAGAGCTAACTAACGAAAAAAAGGTGAATCGGCTAGGCTTCAATGCCTGCAGAATGTTGACGTGGCGGGAGGATGAAGGAAGCTGCTTAGCAGTAATACCCCAATGCCTGCGCCAAGAGATGGATGATACAGGAATGTCACCAATTAGCTCTAACAGGTGTTGCTCGAACGGACGATCTCCTGCGACAAACCACGTACTGGTCAGGTATGAGAAAAGACGTCGAGAAGTACGTAACAGCGTGTACGCAATGTCAGCTGATGAAAGGTGATCAGTACATACGACCGTCACCGCAGTCGATTCCGTAGACCTAATGGTACCTTTTCGACTAACGTCCAATGGCAATCAATATCTTCTGGTCATGACATAACATGCCACACGATGGCTAGACGCAGTCGCGATCCCTGATCAACGCACAAAAACGGTCACAGAAGCAGTGGTTCTACATATCGTTGCAAATCACGGTGTGCCAAAAGCAATATTGACAGACCAAGGTCCTTGGTTTGAAGGCGAAGAGTTTGAAGGTCGGTTGCAACAGTTAGGTATCATGAAAATTAGAACAACGCCATATCACCCACAAACGAACGGGCTGACCGAGAGAAATAACCACACCCTGAAAGAGTGGCTGGCCACAAAGGGTGTTGACTGGGAGGAAACCACGGATACCGATACTTAACAAGACCTGGCCCCTCCATCAGCACTGGAGTAATGGAGCATTGGAGAAAAGCCATCAACAACGTAAAACGAAAACAGAAAGTGGACACTGTGAAAACCGAACTGAGGCGAAAAGGGAAGTACCCCGGATTCGAGATCAGAGATCAAGTCAAATGTAGAGATAGGCGAAACACCGGCGGATACGCACCAGGGTCGCGAACACTGCTACCGAAGCGGGAAGGACCATACACGGTCACTGAGAGACGGGTCAAGTATATACCACCGAAAATGCAAACACAGAGAAGCGGGTGAACATCAGCGAGCTCCAGAAATGGATAGGGCGAGACAAGCCAACGATGACGCCAGCACCAAGAAGATCAAGCCGACTTCAGTCCAAGCTATTTGACGGGGGGACGAGTGTGGAGAGAGCAGGCTGCTAGCCAAATTGGCAGACAGTAATTTACGTCAAATTTTACGTCCCCAATATTGGTCGTGAGAAAATATGAACAAAGATTTATTCAACAACCAACCAAACCAGACTTTGCATAGGCGGATACAGTTAGCATATAGATGATGTGATATTCAAGAAACAGCCACTAAGAGATGAAAGAATAACTTTCAGAGAGAAACAACCAATTAGAAGACTGTATTTGTTTGCTTAAATAATCTATAATAATGTATGTGAAAATATATAAATACGTGTTGATTACCTTAATAAACGATCTGTTGCCTGGTCCTTGTCTTCTGGTGTTACACAACGACTAAAGACAATAAACATTTTTTGCATACAAAACTAACAATCAAAGATTTACTTTTTTTCAAATAAATATTTCAAAGCTATGCCTGCTTCTTGAATATTATGTTATTGTACTAAACGACACGATAATATCTGACAATCAGGATCTGATGCAGCGACACCACAACAACCTCCTGCATCAGTTGATGATCGTGCACCAGCATCACTTATCTGTTGTGTTTGTGATTGAATTGTCTCTGTTAGACTGTTCATTTCATTAACATACATATCGTATGATTCATCATTTTGTTGACAACCTTCTATTTTGCTTTCAATAGCACGTAGTTGATCGCAAAGCATTTTACGTGAATCCATTAAATTAGTTAAGTGATATTCATTAGAATAAAGGCTTTTTGTATTTCCCAAAACGATATTGTTTTTACTGACGTTTCGCCATTTAATGCTAATAGCTTTCTCAAAGTATTATTAAACCGGAATTTACAAAATCTCAGCATATATATATATATATAACAAAGAGTTAAGAGGTGAGAGAATAGACAAGTTAGGTCAACTTAAAAGGACATATTGAAAGTCGAAATAATAATGAAGATCACTAAACCAAATAAAAATTCCATACTAACAAATACTGTTTGAAATAAAGCTATTATTATTATTATAACTGATGTTCGTTAGTCTGGGATTTTTAGTTTAGTGTTCTTCTTTATTATTTCGACTTTCAATATGTCCTTTTAAGTTGACCTAACTTGTCTATTTTCTCACCCCTTAACTCTTTGTTATATATATATATGCTGAGATTTTGTAAATTCCGGTTTAATAATACTTTGAGAAAGCTATTAGCATTAAATAGCGAAACGTCAGTGAAAACAATATCGTTTTGTTTTTCATTCATTGGGAAATACAAAAAAACCTTTATTATAATGAATATCATATACCCAATACCCGAATGTTTTCAAACCGTTAAAAGTGAACTTGGTTTGGACATATATAGTTAAGTGATATCTTACAGTTGCCATACTGACATGCATATCCAAATCCATTTTAACCCAGCTTCGAACACGTGTCACAAAATCGAATTTACTAAATATGACAACAGTAGAAAAAGTAAGAATATCAATAATAACTCGCATCTGAATAAATCATATCACATTGAAACAGTTAAGAATACAACTTATGTGGCTGAAAAAGCGAAAAGGTGGCCAGGCAATCAATGAGTGGCTGTACACACCTGTATGTGTGCATCTGTGTGTGTGTGTAGTCCACTCTATGCTTCTTTATGGCTGTGAGACACTGCCGCTTAAAGTGAGAGGTACGGTGAGAAGGCCAGCTCCCTTTGACTGCAAATGTTAGCGTTCTACTTCCCATGTTAACTGGTTTAATATACTTTCCAGCGGAATTATATTCAATGGACAATAGGTTACATCTCATGTTTAGTAGTGCTGATGATGATAAAACCCGGTTATCAGACAGGAGGGAGAAACTACAAATGACTTAATAGGCCACCTCGCCTGGCTACTGCGTCAGTGACTCCATCGTAGACTCTTGGTCAGCGACACAGGTCACCCGGGATGAAGTCCCGACTGGTACACTTTAAGACCTCACTGAAGCCTGTCAACTGGTAGAAAGCCCAGAAGGGAGGGAATGTTGGGGATGAAACTCGCAGACCAACTCTGCAAAAACAACCTCGTCGATACTAAAATTTCATAGCTCTAAGCTTGAAGACCTGTGCAGCACTCGGAGTGCAAGGGATAAAAATATTGTAAACTGAGTCCTTAGATCATCTGTAGAGCCCATTCGATAGATTTCAAGAAGTTCCCAGGATCATCAGATAGTTATTTTGACATAGCTTGACACTTTTCGGCAGTGTGCAACAACTTCACCGAAGATAATCCAGTGAAAAATCATTTCAATAATAAGACTCCCACTTTATCAAAACAACTTTACTATTTTTGTTCATTTGATATGTGCTCTTTCTAGGTGATGAATAAAAAACACATAATCACAACATACTACATACATACTACTTACTGACTGATTGAAGTGACTAGCTGCATATCAACACTCACATCAACCAAAGGTAGTGTTTGCTAGCTAGATAGAAGTCGTCTGAACCCCAGGGCTCATCCCACTTTTTTGGGACCAAACTCATCGGCTGTGTGTCCAGTTTGATTCGGCCCGTAGAACCGCATAAGTTCCTCTAAAAACTGAAACTATTCCAGTCACAATATGTGTTCCGCTGGATACCATAAATGGCAGTCAAGAGAGCAAGCACAAAGGCATGGCGCTATACACTAACACTACAACAGCAATGCCACCTCAACAATCTTAGCATAAACAACATACAACAAAGATATTCAAGTGTTGGTTTTGCACAGATTTGGTTGGTTACAAGATTCCATCATGAGTTGACATAGGTTAGAAAACCATTGGGAAACCAACAGGGAGTGACGAACAGTTGTTTCCTACGTCATAATTTGGAACTGTTCATCAGTACGCACCTACCGCCAGGAGTTCGAACCCAGGGCCTTCAGGTTACAAGACGAGCTGGTAAACCATTCAGCTACTGGGATCCGATTTAATGGTCAAGTAATGAATTCCAACTTCTGCGAATTCGCAATATAGCGCGACCACTAGCCAGTGTCATCCGAAGTGAGTGTTTGTCCTCACACCTCAAACCTGTTCCCAACTGGTTACGACTGGTCGTTACAACACAACGATGCTACCTCACCTTCAGGATTATTGACTTCTGATGGAACTTTACTGCGTTCCTGCTTCACGTTTTCCTGACGTAACAGGAATTCCTTGAGTCGACATTCGGCTGCTGCTACGGCTTCAATACGACGCTCCAGTACAGCTTGTTGACATTCATGAGCTGATAACATTCGTGACACTTCACACTGTAGACGACGATCATGCTCATGAAGTCTTCTCATCTAAACAGCGACAATGGATAATAATAATGTCATATTTGCGCTAGATCCCCTTTGTTGGTTAATTTATATCAAGAATAGCGAGTTCAAAGGAGCTTTTCTTTTAAAATAAAGAACCAACTACTCATAGATGGATAAATCTATGCTGACATTTGTTGGTTATCAATTGCAAAAATTAAAAACTACTAAGAGTTAGCAGTCTAATACATACAGTATAGTCAGAAACACAAGTTACCACCCTACATGTGAGTAAGTTCAGCTTACATGACATCATTAGAAGAAATAATGCACAAAGACCATGTGCATAAACCTTAATTGCACAAACCTCCGCGAATGCAAACAATTTCCTATTTGATTTGTTTGCCCACCAAAGTGAATAACATGATAGTGTCAATAACACCATATCCATAGTCGATTTGATAACGTGATTTGTTACGGAACCTTTTGATATGATAATTTCAGTCTTATTTTCAACCACTTAGGTAAATACTCCATTATGCGAGTGGAGAATCCTAACAACAAAACTAGGATAACTGTTACTTCTACATACTAAAGATATCTAACTACAACTGGATAGCCATTAAGTTAATGATGGTGCAATGGAAAACTCATTACAAACACGTTCTTGTCACGCCTACAAGCTGGCAATTATCTCACAACATATTCACACAACACACGGAATTCTAATATCTGAGATATGTGGACAATTGAATTGTCTATGACTTCACAATAAAACACGACGGAAATGATACTACATGGTGAAAAGGATTGACAGGACAAATAGAAAATCTCTATGGAAAGGAAAGTATATAGACACTTTAGGAGCTTCGTTCCCCAACCCACCACCAGTATAAAAATAACTTAGTCGGAATACTGTTCAATCGAGCACGGAAAATTTGTTTTGACAGTACAATTGAGTGCAAAATAATGATGATAATAATAATAGTCTGCTTTATTGTAAAAACAGTACTTATAATACAGAATGGAATTCTCAGCATTTGTCACAATATTGCATCTGATTTACTTAAAATATAAATAAAATCAAAACAAAATTAACCTGAGGAGTTTGTCCACGTTTACGATATAAAGTCAAAAATATTTGAAGCAAGAACTGAGAATGTTATTTATATTAATAATAAAAATATTTCATTTAGAAAAGACATAACCAATGAAATCAAACTAGCCATACAATAATAGTTATGGGTCATGGGTTGTGACCCGGCCTAGTTGTGATACTTTGACTATATTTGACTTAATGATTATAAGAGTGAAATAATTGGTGGCTTGATAAACTATTGATCTAGTCTATGAATTTGAACCACTCAGAATCAATTTTGAGAACTTCACAAGTGTATATAAACGTCCACATCTCCATGCATCAATGTCGTTTATCTGAATAACGGAAATCAAGTTTGTCAAAGTATTCAGCCTATTCTGTATAATGTGAACTGCTGCATATGCTGATAGATTATTGTGATATTCGAAAGTTACAATCAGTTGGATAGTGATGTTCAACGCACACATGTTCGAATGATTGAGACTTGTAAGTTGGAGGCTGGGAAAATTCGAATTATTCCTTTCACCTTCATAAATCCAGTAGAGGTGTTGTTTGTCTTTGTTGAACAGTCTATTAACCGTATTGTCTTTCTTTGTATCTGGCGTGTATTACCATCGATACAGTGTAATTATCTTCATCTTGTCAGTTGTGTGGATTTGCAATCACACCTGAAGTTTCAAATTGAAAATTCAATGAGAATTTGATTTCCTTTCTTCCATTATTTCTCCCTTGATAATTTTACTCGGATTTCTGTTTTTGTCTAAGAATATTATTGTTGTCAATTGTGAAATGTGATTATTAATATGAAGGTGTTCAGTGAGACTTTAGCAAAATTGTTCATTAATTTTCCTCGTTTTGTCGTGATAAATGTAAGATAATCTGTTTCTGAAATCGTGTCCTACCGATAGAACTGCTTAACGCAGTGAGGTGTCCTGCACGTATGGGTGATTCATAGCTGATTTTCCTATCAGGACGCCTAACTGACCAGATGGGATGCACTCACTTCATAAAGATGTCTTATTTTCGTCAATATAATTAGTGGCTTACAGTTTCAATTATGTGAACTGTTCGTGTCTTCGTTGAAACTGCTCTACCCATAAGCTATCTTGCCTTAGGTGAATATGCTACGATTCATCTCCAACAGACATTGCATGGAATTAGATTGATAATTCTCCTTTTCATGGCATTTTGAAATTTCTCTCAACCTGAGACATCTTGACGGAAATCAAGTGCTCCCGACTCCCTACTACATTGCAGATTTGTAGTCTTTAACCTACCATGTACATGTACACAAATTACCTGTCCTGTTCAATGAACATGTCAAATAGGAGGATTGTGAAAGGAATTGTGTGAGCCACACACCCAAAGAGATAGGTTTTCCGTATTCCGTGGAAGTCATTGAGGTGCTGAAGAGCAGTGTGGTTTTATTCCACCAGAGCGATGATGACTAGAATTCATATTGATGGGGCTTATTGTCATGCAAACAGAACATCTCCCACAACTCTTTCAGCAAATATTTTGTAGAATTGACGTGCAAACACCATGGTCAACGGATTTGATACTGCAAAGTTCACACAATCCAATGCAAATGGATCCGCCTCCATTGTCGCCTCCGGTAATGCATCATTGCAAATTATTGATGAGATATTAGGAAGAAATGCCGGTACATTTGATCAATGTAGATGTTATTTGTATTATTTACTTGAATGAATAAAATGGTCCATTAAGAGAACCAAGACAAGCACCGCACAAAATGCTGAAAGGAGAATCTGGGGAGAATAAGGATTAGAATATTGACATGTAAACATGACTATTTAACAGCTTGTAGGGAACATTAGATTCGGTCATACACGATCTCCAATCACGGAAGTATGATCTCCGGAAGTGGTGTTCATTGTTTAGTGAACAGGTCAGCCGGTGCTTTTCAGTACGGAGTTTCACAGTAATCGAAATCTGCAGATATAAATTTATCAAATGCAGTACAACACTGAAATAGGAGTTTTCTAGAATTTCTTCAGTTCAAGACGTTTATCATTTCGTTGTACTGTTGGTAACAGCTAGCATTGTAACTTGTCAACAGTGACCACTATTATGTTATGGTCACGCTTATAATTTCTAGCTATCCGGGAAGATATTCAAGCCATAAACGACTGCTTCACAAAATCAGTCAAGATAGTCGAATAAAAAAACTATTACCAGTCAGCTACATAGTGCATAAACTGTGTAAACTCGTCTTGTGAACTCAATCAGAAACGATTGTCAATCGTTTCATAGTGATAAATTCATTTTTATTTCAGTTGTGTTACTTCACTGAGTTTTGACGGTGTCAATTCATAGCTCTCCTTCACTTTCTTGGCACATTCTCATGGAAGACAGCTGAAGCGTTTTAACGAATCTCTTTGACGACCAGTTCAACTGGCCTACAGCTTCCCTTTATCCAACCCTGCATAGAGTATGATGAGAACGTTGGTCCTCCAATTTATATGATTCTGTGAAATGTCTTACTTACACAAGACAGGGGAATTCAGCAAGAAGTTACTGATGCAATTTTCATTGTGATTAAGCAAGTTCGTGTGGAGTTATGCGTGGCGGGGACACTTGAATTACTGCACATTTGAATTTCAGTCCGAATTACGGACTATCATTCTCGAAAATGACTTCCGTGCAGGACAGTGAAATGCTCCATAATAAAAAGAAGACGAGATTGTGAGATGAAAATATGGAAGTCATAGCTTGATTTGAGTCAATTATTTCATATTCAGGATACGTGTTCAAATACACATCGGAAGTAGAAATCATGCATGACTTCGTACAGAATGACGTCAACTCTCAACATCCCACAACACCCTTAGTCTCTATCGAGCAACGCGTTGACTTTCACACACACGTAAATATAAGCTGCCATTGGAGATTCCAATCACACTCATACTGATCATCACAATCATGTTGGTCAAAATTGTTGTATTGCTCTGAGTGGCACACTATCTACTGTTCGATGTGCACACGTTGACAACAGCACAATCGTCATGGAAGAAAATGATGGCAGCCTTCTCCAACGGCAGTAGTAGCTCATCAATACTAAGAGGAGAATCGGCCACACAGCCTCCAACTCCCAGAAACCACAACACACAACTTATCCAAGGAGCTCGTGAGCAGAGCATAATATCTAGCTTAATCCTGTGATCAGTCTAACTAATTGCTAACTCAGTTTCTAGAGGGAATCGGAAACACTCGAATAGACGATTGGAAAATTGTTGTGTCTTCCAACATCACACCACTCACCACACACTTCAGTCGGACGAGGAAGGCCAGTGTGACCAACCATGCAACAGTTATTCGGCAGTGACGTGTACCTCTTCCGACACTGAAAATATGATGCTCAAGCCGGATGGAATGCACAGATCTATGTCGAGTTACATATTATCGATTCGATGGTCAAATATATGAACAGATATAAAGGGGAACCTACGAGATCGCCCATATCGCGATTGGAAATTAGAACAAACAGTTCAGCGAAGAGTCTCTTTTGAGCAGATTCACTCACTCACCTGTACAATCGCAATTATGAATAGCTGTTTGTGTGTGTGTGTATGTGTATGCGTGTACATTCAGTTTGCCAAATATAGTACAAGTGTAAAAATTAGTTTGTGTTGTGTCTACATCATCAAAATACTGCAAAATAGTCAAGCATAATTGTATTGTAATGGCGAGGATGAAGATTAGTGAGTTTAGACTGAGGTTGTGTAATATCAGAGGTGTTCTGTGGAATATGAGTTTTAATGCATGTAGAGAGCATGGAGACGAGCAAACAATGTGAATGTCACTATAAGAAGTGACTAAAAATTCAATTTCCAAGGGTGATTACGAGTTATATTACTGGGCCTCTGTAATAATCTGTGAAAAAACTATCTGAATGAATAAAAATGTGTCACAAATGGGTTAAGAACACTTAAGAGAGCTATTTTCTTCTAGTTAGTTTCTAAAAGCTTTATATAAGTATTCCAGGGTCATTAGTGTGAATCCTGTTTTGATCGGGATTTTCACTTCACCGTCGATCATCACACACTTCATCAATAACTGTCCCTCAACTAAGAAGTATCTCACATAGTCTGACCATCAATTAACAACCTGCTCCTCTCCTTTTGGTTCAGAGTGACCAGAAGTGACAGGTAAATGAAGGCATATATAGGGGACTAGTTTGATGAGTAACGCACAGTAAGACAGCATGTGTTCACACTAAAATCTCGACACTACCCAGATATGATTGCAATAAAACTATGAATTGATTGGTGGTTGGGTATCGTAACTGAGTTGTTAGAGAATTGGTTTGGATCCTACAGTGGCACAGATTTTCGCCTTACTTTCAATCTCCATCCATTACATAGGTGTCACTCCTGCGCACCCAGCAAAGTACAGCTGAAAAATGAACAAAGGAATAACAATTACGTGTACTAAAATACCTCAGAATGTATTGCACAGTTGTTCAGAGAGAATAAATGCTAGATAAGAAATAAACAGGGCGACCGGAAACTTCCCTACTCAATAATAATAATAATAAATTAAAGCCGCTATTTCCTGAGCAGTTATTGCGAAATGAAAACAGTATTACAGCGACAAATCTAGCCATCCTATAAGTCAAGGGATTGATGAATAGCAGATATCAGTCATACTTCACTGAGTTAACGGATTGATCTTCTCGTAAGCAGATAAACATAAACAAGAATTTTACTTGCAAAAGTCAGCAATTCATAAAAAATGGTAGTCCATTGATTCAAATAACCAGTGAAGGTCATATTCACAAAGGTCAAAACGGAAGTGGGAATGCCGTGAAGTTAGATTAAACTAAGAAAGAAGAATAACTACAAGGCTATACACATGATAACAGAAGGACAGAGAATTGTAATATCCATATCAGAAATGCGTGTCGACCAAACACGTTAACAGAGAAAAACTTATAAGGATCGATTGTTTTAGTCTGAGTGTTAAGTAAGAAATAGTTCTGATGATGACAGATAGATGACAC